TGGTTTTTGGTCTTGTTTTCTTTGTTTTCAGCCCTTCGAAGGGGCTTGGGAGAGACGCGACTGCGTCGACCGACAGTCTTCCTCCCTCCTCCTCCCTAGCACTACATCGACTGGCACGCCGGCACGCCGCCGGCCGGCGGATTATGAAAGCAGCCATTTCTTCCGTCATGTTCACACTATGAATGCAGTCATTTGAAGTGAAATTTAATTTCTTCATGCGTATACATAGCACGAATTCGCTTTGACGGCTTGTGAGATGTGGAGCACACTGTGCAAGCATTAGTTCCGAACGGCGTAAAAGCAAATGACTTTGAAAGGTATTATATTTCGCGACGATCATATCCACTCTCCTAGCCACTATCGAGGATGCAGCTGAAGTTTCATTTTCATTTCCAACATCCAAAGTATGAGGTTTGTGCATCGAATTCTGCCTCCGAATTCAAAGGGTCATGTTGAGCGAACCATGTTGTACATTTACCTGTGGAACTTTTCATATTTTGTGAAATGGGTTTTGGTCACGTAAGCCGTAGTCTTAAAAGTCGCTTCCCTGAGTGGCCCTTCTTCTGCTCTTTGTTTTCAAGAAAACTGCCAGTGAAGCCCACCAGATGCTTTTCGATATTTGTGAAGAACACGTATTTGGATCATCTGAGCGAATCTTCAGCGATTGGTTTCAACGACTTATAGGTGGAGGGTGGAGGTTTATAGGTGCTGACTTGAAAGACCAGGAAGGTCTAGGTCAGGCGAAAAAGTCGATTCGCAGTTATAAGCATTGTCGGATGAACATCCAGCCCAGACTCAAATATTGGGTTGTAACATAAGTTCGTAGAGTTTTGCGTTAGAGTTGTTTTACCACGAGTTACTTTGTTTTTTAGCAAAGTGTATACATTCATTTGAAAGAGCTCTTTCTCCTCTACAAAACTGCTTTATTCGTTTTTAGGATAATTAAATTGTTCGTCTTTTTTCGGGCTCAGAAATGGAATATCCAGGAAGAAAAATTTAGCATTTTCGACATCTGCTTTTCTATGCTTCTCGTCGAGGTCAAAAAAGCAGCCGAAACCGCTCGGGACATATGCAGTGTGTACGGGAAAGGTGTCTTAGGTGTGTCTACTGAAAGGTGTGGGTGGCCCCAGGGAAGGCGCCAAAGCCGAGAGTCAANCAACAAATTGGTCGAGAGATGGGAAGAGGTCGTGAACAGTAACGGAGGATACATCATTGGTTAATTTATTATTATAATTATTGTTTTTTGGTTCAGATAAATCTTTGTGAAAAAACTCTACGAACTTATGTTACAACCCAATAAAACTGGCAGTGGCGCTACACATTAAAGGCACCGTTCACGATAAAAAGGTTACTGAGTTGTTCCTTTAGGAATACTCAGCGCCCCCCATGGGTGGTAGAAGGGACCCTATCGCTCCCACAATCTCGGCGTTTAGGGCATAGTGGAAGCTCCGTTGTTGCCGTTGTTCGCTTTCCCGCCCCTCGATCGGTGTCACGTTAGACGAGTGTCGAGACAATACACATTGCTAGTATTCGTTCTAGGACCCACACACAATCAGCTAATCGCCAAGTGATGAGGCATTGTTTTCCTCCCATTCTTTTTCCCTCTGTTTTTCTTTTTGCTGCCGCGATCCCTTGTTTAATTTCCTCCTCCTCGAGGCTGAAAAAGGTGAGCAACTTTTGCTGTTACTAGGGTTTTTTGTTTATTTATGCCTATAAGTGAATGAATTTTTGTCTGTTATTCGCACCAGGACCCACACGCGCGCAGTGAAACCCACTGTTAAGCTCGTCCGGACGCCCCACTCTTCTTCATTTTTCTGGTTTCACTCTCGTCCAGCCCCCTTTTTAACGGTTTTTCGGAGCCTTTTTTCACTTAAGAAACACCTATGCACGCAGTTTCTTCACCTCAGTCCCCCTAGTTTCGATCTTGTCTTCCATTTTTCATCATAATCTGGATTACCCAAAATTATCGTGAAGGGTGCCTTTAACCGCGCAACTATTTCTCCAGACGCTTGCACGCAGTGGGAAAGATTCGAAAGCCAGGAAAATGGATTCCTCACCAGCTGTCAGCAAACAGCTCGAAGCACGCGTGAAGGCTGGCAGGAAAAACATCGAAAACCGCAAAATGTTTTTCATCGGATTGTGAAGGGAAATGAAAAATGGATCTACTACGATGATCGGGATCGGGAAGCAGCATACTATGTGGATTCAGGCTAATCAAGAGTTTACAGCCAAAGCGGCTGCCACGAAGTGATCCTGCGTACTTGGTGGGATCAGAATGGTATTTTGTAAAACGGGCTAATGAATCCAAACAAAATTAATTTTCTCATGAGAGCTTTTCCTGAAATGAAGGGAGCAGTGTCCACTCCAATGCAGCAGTGTCCACTCTCTGGGAGTGGGTAGGGCCCTAGGGGGCTTCCTCAAGGGCGGAGCTCCTAAATTTTAGTGCCATCAAAGGCTACCTTAGAGGAAGAGGACCAAGTTATCGTAGGCAAGTTCACATGAGTGGTGAATTCAGCAATAGATTCCAACCTTCTGTCCAGCGCAATCAACCCCAAATACATATGTTGACGGAACAGGGGAAATAGAAGGAAAGTGCAAAGCCAATGAGGACAAGTTATTTCAAACGTTGTAATTGCTTTAGCGCAAAAGTTACGTAATGGATTCAGCGGGAACATATGGGATTTTGAGCTGTTTGCCATGTTTGCCATCAAACGCACCATTTCCTCTTAGGTGACTACACTGTGTTTGTAACGAAAACTATAAGTATTTATTGAAGCTGGCATAACTGAGCGATGAATGCGAGTCGTGGTCTGATTCGGACATGTGTGGCTAATCAATTTTATATTTAGGGTAAAGCTCGAAAGCAAAAGGTTCATTCCACTAACCCGGCCAAACCGGTGAGTTTGACGAACCCTAGTCATAACCTTTACTCCGTACTGCTTAGCACACTGATTTGTTCCGAGTACACATGCTCATGTTCATAAGAGCCTCTTGATCTGACATCCATCGCGGACGCTGTTCCTTGCGTAACCTCTGATATTCACAAAGTACCAGATGTGCAATCGAAATTATTATTGGCTGATTTCTCAAAATTGTTATCCTTTACAGGATTGTGCACTATCTAATTGTATATTTAGGGTACGAAGCATCAGAAGCCAAAGACTGATCCTAAAAAATCTGCCAAACCGGTAAAATTGAGAACTCGTCCCTGATCTTTTGCAAACCTAATGTTTATGCGCCATCTAATTGTAGGGTAAAACTCGAAAGCCGAGAGATGGTGCTGGTAGATCTCACGAGACGGTGAGTTTTGAACATTTTGAAGTTAGAATCCATTATTACAATATAATGATTGAAATACGGTGCTCATGAACACGTACACATGGACATACTTTGCATTTCAACAACACTTTGATTTCTTTTTGTAACTTTTTTATTGTACGGACTGACGGATGCGAGAACCTCCTTCCATATATTATCTGGTTCGTCCACGATCATCAGTAGAGACGGTTGGATCAACTAAACTTTTGAAC